CTCCACCACCACAACTATCCCCACCCCCATTGTCCTACCACCACTATCACTATCGCCACTACATCACCACCTTAGCTTTAACAACAACCACCATCACTGTCACCACGCTACCACCACTATCACACCCGTCACCCTACCACCACCATCACCACTATAGCTAGTCTTATCGCCCCACCACTATCATCATCACCGTTGCCGCCACCTTATCACCACCACAACCCTCATCGCCTCACTCTCACTCTCACTGTGACTCCACCATCACCTCTTCTACAACAACTTTCAGCATCAGCATCGCTGCCATCACCACCATCCTATCACCGTTTCTCACTACCACCACTATCGTCCACCATCTCTATCACCGCTCGCTTTAATTATAATCGGTGCTTAAATTTCTTTCTTTCTTTCTCTTCAATTTTTTTAATTTGATTTTGAGTGTAAATACAAATATGTTTATTGTGTACCTTTTTTTTTATTACTCCGTATCTTTAAACACAAAAAATAACTAGTATTTTAATATAACATAAACTCATAACAAAGTACGAACTTGCCGTGATCCGAACTCAATTCCCAGCCCTACTTTTATGCTAATTGTGAAGGACCGTATGCATGTGCTCTGTCTTTTTAATCATAGAGTTAACTGTGTCTGGATAAAGCACTCAAGCTTAAAGAGGAAATGATGTGAGGTATACTAACCAAGTAATGCTAGATTGATCAAATTTTAGAATTAAATTTGGAACTCAAATGACATGACAGCTGATTATTTGAAGTTTTTATTTGGACCTAAATGACATGACACCAATGGAAGAAGCTTAAGTCAACTGTCATGTTATTTGAGCTCTAAATTTATTTTCAAAATTTGGTCACTCTAGCATTACTCTTACTAATGAGTATAGAAAAAAATTTACTGCAAAAAGAAAAGAAAAAAAATTCGTCAAAGAAATACTACAACAAAAACTAATACAACGTTGTTTTATTATGGTAGGGGTCATTGGTTGGTACAGTGGTAGAAGAGTCGGGTTAGCAACCTTGTCGGATATGATCTCCTCTAATAATTGATTCCTTCAGCTCTTTCGATTCTATGTGTGTATTTAGATATCCGCCAAGGTACAAAGTAGCATTCGCGCTCACTCTGAAGTATAAGTTTTTGTTTCAAAATTGTATTTTATATAGTATCTCCATGGTTGGTAGCGAGTCAATGATAAACAAGCGTATTATGCCAAATGCTATGTTAGATGGACGACAAGATATAAGAATCGTGTTAGAAAATAACTCCTAAATATTAATATTAGTATTCATGAAATGGAAGTTTTCTGAATGATATATAAAATCTCCTCAGCTAATAGACAAAGTACATGTCACATTTACATGTTGTTACTTGACAATTTCACTCTCCTGTGCAACCCGACATCGTGAATAATTTATGGGTGGGGTTAATTACAAAATATTCCTTCAAGTTTGGCTAATGTTGCAATCAATTCCTTCTGATTTAAATTTTAAAAATAGTTCTCCTTGGTGGGATTAAATTAACTGACTTAGTTGATGAAAAATAGAATACACTTGATCTTTAATTAAATTTCTTTGTTCTCTTTATACCCAACCCATTAAAAAACAAAAATTAGCCTTCAAACCCCGGTAATCCCTGACTCCTAGCTCCGGTGAACCTCCCACCCCCATGCCCAGATTTGACGGAGCTCCCAAGCTCCATGCCCAGTTCTAACGGACCCTCGAACCCCATACCCAGCTCCAACAACCCCACCTCCTTCTACAATGTCGATAGTTCCCCAAATCCTCATACCCACCTCCTGTAGCCCCTCACCCTCATACTCAACGTCGACAACCCCTCAACACCTATACCGAACGACGACAGTACCCCAAACCCCATACCCACTTCTAGGAGTCCCTCGTTCCCGTACCAACTTTAGCAGTCCTCCCAACGTCCATACCAGTTCTAGTGGTCCCCCATCCCAACTCCGGCAGTCCCCCACCCCCGTTAAACAAGCAAATCTGAAAACAATATTCAAATGAGATTCATCCAAAAATTAACACCAAACACCAACACCACTACCCCCAAAACTTGTTAGGGAGGAGGTGCTTTGTTTTGGTTAGGTGAAGGGATTGTTGCCTTGTTAGGATGGGATAAGGTTTGTTAATCACAAATGGGTGGGCAGTGGTTTGGTGGTTGAAAGGGGGTTGGGTGAGTTTTTTTTTTTTGGTGTTGTTTCTGAAGGCATGGAGTAGGAGGGTAAATTTGTCATCAAATGAATTAAAGGTATTTCTGTTAATTTTTTTACAGTTAAATTTAACAAAAATGGAGTAATTTCTTTCGGTAAAAACTTGAATGGGGCAAATTGTTTAAATTGAAACTAGAAGGAGTCAATTGTAGCATGACCTAAACTTCAAGGGGGTATTTTATAATTAACCCTAATTTATAAAACTCATTTTTTTTGGTTAAAAATTAATCAATTTTTATTTTGTTTACCATAGCCACAGGTATATATAATTTTGCTTGTATTTTTTCTACATCACTTTCCCTCTCCTTTGCAATCATACGTCGTCAATAATTTATTAAACTCTTTTTTTTTTTTTTGTCGAATCCATCATTTATTTGTTTGCATCAAAGGAGAGGTAAATATTTTCATGGATCACCAGAAATGGAGGAGAGAGAACGTTTGAAAAGATGGAGGACTGCATCTCACCAAAACAAGGGAAGTAGTTTGCACAAGAAAAACTCCATTGGTTGCTACTATTTTGTGTTTCTAAAATACATATACACCAAAATTTGTTTGTTTTATACTAACTCATTTATAATCTTATATACTTGACGAATATGACCAATTTATCACCTGCAAATGTTAAAATTAAACTTGATATCGATTTCATGTTGGATTTATGAATTATTTATGTCTAAAAATTAAGAATGGCCGGTGGTTCCATCATTGAGCATAGTTGAAGAAAATTGGGAGGATCACAAACCCAAGCAATTCTTTGGAGTTATGCGTGACTAGAAGAATGGAGATTTGTTCAACGGTAGATGAGTTTGGAGTCATATTTACTCTTTCCATTCGGGGTTGGATTAGTACATGGGCATGCGGTACCAAAAGTGTGATGGTATCTCTCTTTTCTTTTCTTTTCTTTTTTTTCCTGCCACATTGTCACGTGCTGAAATTTTTTTTGTTTGTTTTATTTTACTAATTTTACAAATAGTTTTTTTTTTTCCTTATGTCAATAGAGATGAAGAAGATAAAAGGACAAACATACTTGCAAGTAATTCTACGAGTGAGTAATCCTACTAACTAGTTAATCTAAAAAAAAAAAAAGGAGAACTAATGTCCTGTCCACAAGGCCTCCTTTGTTGTTCTATGTGGATTGGCCTCTTGTTCCTTGAGCACAATTCCTTTAACTTCTTGTGGAAGGTGACCTGCAAGAATAATTCCTTCCTTTTTTGTTGAGAGCCCTCATTTTGCAATGGCTTGTGCAGCTTCATTGTCCTCTCTATACACATGGGTCAAGCTCCATTCCTGGTTTTGCTCCAGCAGTTGTTTTGTATATTTTGTGATTGTTTCGATAGGCCAAGGTATTTTAAGACAAGTATTTGTGGCAGCCAAAACCGTTACTTAAGAATCACTTTCCATCCTAACGAAATTCCATTCTTTCTTATGCGCCCGCATTACTGCTTCTCTAGCTACAAAAGCCTCTGCTACCAGGGGGATTTCCCCTTTTTACTGCCTTGACATATATGCCTCCATGACTTGACCTTGCCCATTTCTAGCGATTGTTGAGATATAAGATTCTTCTTCCCCCATAGCTCCATTCACATTGATTTTAATTTCCCCGTCCAGAGGCCTAGACCATCCTTTTTCGTGCATGATTCCTTGCTACCATCTTTGTAGTAACCGAAGAATGGGCTCTTACTTGACTATGCTCATTGAAGGCATTTGAAACTTCATTACGAATAGTTATCAGCTTGGGCTTGGCATCTAACAGATCATATTTCTCTATTTCCACTCAGTTGATTAATCTATTCTTCGATCTGATTAAAAGTAAGTCATTACATCAAAACTAGGATATTCATGAGAGATAAATCATTTGTGAATTGACTCTAAGGAATAATTCAGATTCGAATTTAAGATATTTAAATTTATAACTAATTTGTATTACTATTCCTTCCCCTGGGGTTTAAAGCAATAAATCTTTGGTTAAGCTGCTGGTGACTAGAGGAATCAGAATTCCCTCTCAGCTTCACAGGAAAAGTGTAACCCCAACATTCTTCTACCATGTACAACAAGGTAAGGAATGTCTTTAATAAGACCCAAAAGTCAATACCTACCTATCAAATTCATTGTATCTTAGAAAAGTGAGTCATATGTATATATATTCAGATAATACCAAGATTTACCTACTAAAAACAAAAAACTTAAGTATTTTACAGTAATTATTAACATTAAAAAACGAAAAATAGAGACCAACAGAACAGATCATTCACAATCTTGAGTTTTAACATTTCATTTAGAGTAATGTTACGTTGATCAAATTTTAAAACAAAATCAAGAACTCAAATAACACAACGCTTAATTATTTGAAATTTTTATTTAGACATAAATAACATGACATGACATTACATAAAAAAAATTCAAATCAAGTGTCTTATCATTTAGATTCAACCAAAATTTGATCAACATAACATCATTGTTTCATTTAACCCACCACCTGCAATCATTCACAATATTTGGCTTCAATCACATGAAATTTTGATCCACAGATCATTCAATAATTCAAATCAACATATACACTTACAGAAATATACAACTTCAAATCACATGAACAAGAAACAGAGCAATCACAAAAGCATATTCAAAATCAAACATCAAACGATTCTTGGTCCAACAATATCTAATTTTTCAACACAAAATAGTGAAAACTACAACAATTATAATCCTTCATAAATCATCAAACCTCACATATATAGGATTTGGAGGAGTCCCAGAACTCTCCGGAATTCTTCATGCCGGCGTGGAATGATCGGCGGTCGACGTCCAGACGAAGTCCTTCAGAGCCGGCCGGAGCTCCTTGCTGCAGAACTGGTTGTACTCCAGAGTATCGCCGGAGGTCTTCTTCACCTCCACCACCAGGAACGCAGGTGTCACTGCGAAAATATCGGCGGCTATGCCCAACTTCCCTTTTCTTCCACTCTCTTGCCCCTGAAGTCTCACGCCGGAGTCGCTTTTCTTCACTCTGAAATTCACCGTCTTCGCCACCTCCTCCAATCTCGATATCACACTCGTCGCCGGCTTAGTCGTCGCAAATCGGAGCTCTTCTCTCTCCACCCTTTTCTTCTCTTCAAAAAGTGGGGACAAATCGAACCCTTCAGATAATGAGATTATGTGAAAAGCATTGAGGGTCTCTGTTTCTTTTCCGAATTTCCCAACAGTAAATTCATCTTCGATCATGAACTCTTGTTCTTCTTTGGTTTTCACGCCTTTTGGCACTGATTTCTTGAACCAAGACGAGTCCATGATCTTGGAGATTGTGATGCGAGTATTGGGATTTGGATCTAACAATTTGGTGATTAATCTGCGAGCTTCTGAGGAAAACCATGGCGGACACTTGAAATCTCCCCTGTAAATCTTTTTATACATAGCAACAATATTGTCATCTTGAAAAGGTAAAAATCCAGCCAAAAGAACATAAAGAATGACACCACAAGACCAAATATCAGCCTTGGCTCCGTCATAACCTTTTTTCCCGATCACCTCCGGCGCCACATACGCCGGAGTTCCACAAGTGGTGTGCAACAACCCATCTAGCCGGAGATGATCGGTGAAAGCGCTGAGCCCAAAATCAGTCACCTTCAAATTACCATCCTCGTCTAACAGGAGATTTTCCGGTTTCAGATCACGGTGGTACGCACCGCGGCTGTGGCAAAAATCAACGGCGGAAATCAACTGCTGAAAATAATTCCGGGCAACTTCTTCCCGGAGCCGACCCTTCGCCACTTTTCCGAATAGCTCGCCGCCGCGGACAAGTTCCATGGCGATATAGATCTTGGTTTTACTCGCCATGACTTCGTGAAGCTCTACTATATTTGGGTGTTTCATCATCTTCATCACTGAGATTTCTCTCTTGATTTGCTCCATCATTCCGACCTTTATGACCTTCTCCTTTCCGACTACTTTCATGGCGGCGCTCCTGCCGTTCTGGATGTTCCGTGCATGGTAGACTTTCGCGAACGTACCGTGGCCTAACAACCGACCCAGCTCGTACTTTCCATGGAGCACGCCAATCTTATCCTCCGTCGCCATTAACGCACACAAAACAAGAAACAAAATGAATGAAATTGTTTTTACAGTGGTGGTGGTGGGTGGTTGTGAGGGTGATGGAAGGTGGGTGTGGGTGGTTCTTGTTCACCCGTCTTCGACGTGTTTCCGGTGGCAGGTTCTGCCGCCGATGGGTTTTTGGGCACGCCCTAAGATGTGGGGGTTAGAAAGCGAAGCTCTTCTCATCTCTCTGCATTCCCTAAAGGGCTCTGTGTGTATGAAAGAGAAAGAGAGGAATGGCTCTTCTGAGGACTAGGGTTTGCAGAACAAGTGGCCACTGGTTTTCTTCGTTCTCTTTTTGGTTCGCAAACTGAGGTTATTATTTTATAGGCCATTTTGGAGTGTGAAATGACTATTTAGTCCTTGGAAATCAGACGGACAATCGGACGGGTCCTGGTGGGTGTGAAATTTTACACGTGTCAAGATCCGAATCAGACTTGAATGATGACCTTGTAGTCCTCGGTGGTGGGTATGAAATTACCTTGTAGTCTTTGGAGGTGAGAGATAATTGGACGGTTATGGTGGCTCTACATGTGTACGCGTGGCATAATCCAAATGAATACCTGGCAGGTATACGTGGAAAAAATATATCACGTCAACATCATTAGAGTAATATTAAATCAGCATTATTACATGAGGTCAATATTTAATAATAAAATATTAAATAAATAAGATTAACCTCACTTTAAGGATAAAAATGAAAGAGTTACCATAAATTTTACGAGTAAAAATTACAAGGATTGCAAAGATCAAAGTAAAATCAGAATAAATTTTCTAAAGAAATAATTGATGTAAACTTTAAGAGTAGGACTATGGTATCGAATTCGGTATAGTGCCTCTATTAATCTTAGTTATCATTTTTGAATTAAATAATTTATAATTACTGATTACAAAATATAAAATAAATAAGAAATTATATAACAAAGTAATTTATTGATGAAACCCAAATTTTAAGGATAGAAATGTAATTAAGCTTTAGTATATTGTGGGTAGTCGCCGCTTTGCAGATGGAATATAATAACTGTTGTTTGGCCCTAGTAACCCACTTGCCACATCTGGGCATGTTCCGCAGCAATTACGTGGGCCGGTTCTAATGGCAATGATGTCATAACAAGGGACGGTGAATTATTGGGGCGATGTATAAGAGGGATAAAACCGTAATAATAAAAAGTCAAGTAAGTTAAACGATCTTCCACTCGCTGGTACTATCAACAGTTGGTGGTGTGCGATAACTCAAGTACGATGAAAAGGCCAGAGAGCTGTGTGTTGGGGGGGGTGGGGGAATCAAGGCTAATATAAAGTACAATAATTAATTTAAATTAGACTTGAATACTATAATTTAAGTAAAAGTACTTTAATTCAGGCTTTTTGAATTTAACTTAGAACAATTGATTCTAATACCTTTCCAAATTTTATATAAAATAAAAGTTTCAATTAACTCGTAGATGTTTAGGTTAACTCAACTTAATTGACTCGATCAAGTTATTATTATCGGGTAGTAACATATCATTTGATATTATTTTATTGTACCATGATACAATTTTTATTCATGTCCACATCCTTATTTTTAAAAAATTAGACAGCTCATTGATAATCTTGATACATAGAAAGGGAGGTACGATGATTTTGTTAGACTTCTGTTTTTTAAAGATACTCTTGATTAATTATAGGTTTAAATTTAATAGATTTGGATCATAATCAAGTTGATCTCCCGCTAATACGATTTAAACACTCAACATAATATGATCTATCATCACATTATTTATCAATGATTATAATCCTTGGAAACATGAGATTACAACTTCCTCATCACATTATATATCAATGATTATAATCCTTGGAAGCATGAGATTACTACTTCCACACATATTTTATTATGATAATAGTCACTTTACCAAAGATTAGATAGATAGATAGATAGATAGATAGTTTGTTTTTTCCTCATGTGTAATCAAGCTGCTGCCCAATAATTTCCTACTTAATAGTAAAAATACACTGAATATTTCATGACATAATTGACTAAATTATGTTATCTTCTTCCGGGCACCAAACAAGAAATTGCTTGGAAGTGTGTGGACTATTTTTATTGTGGCGTGGGGAAAACTTTTGTCAATCAAAGACAACAGCCCACCTCATTTTTGGCGGCCAAAAGTGGAGAAATTTGCCACTCTTTTCCAAATAAAAAATTTTAGTATTGTATCATTAAATTTTATAAATTTTTTGATTTATTTATTGTAAAAAAAATTTATAACTAGTTTTTGAGGTTATATAGAGCCCATAAAAAAATGTAAATGATCTTCAAAACTTGTAAATAAATTATCCTTAAAAATTGTAAATGACAAAAATAAACCATAAAATTTATAATGATAATATGGTACCCAAAAAAAACAAATTTCGATACCACAGACTTCTCCCCTCTTAATTAATAGATGAAACAACAAAATAAGATAATTTTACGATCAATTTCATAAATTTATTAGCCAAAAAACAGGAGATATGGTGTAGAAAAGTAACCCTTTGGTACTAGATTCTGAAAGTTGATTACTTAATCCAAGCGTATAAAAAACCTGAAAGACTTATTATTTTAAATTATAAATTTTGAGTCTCATAAAAAAAAAATTGGTTTAGATATTTTATGTAATCACACGTAATTATGAGTATAAAAAGATATCGACAAACTAAAACAAGTGAATTGTACTTTTTTTATTTATTTTAACGAATATCTTGATAGAGTGGACTAATTGCTTTAATTCACATGATCGAAGTAAGTATTAAATTGAGACAACTCAAAATAGACAAATATTAAGGGCATGATTTATGATATTTGGCCCCTTTACTTAATCCCACCACTTCATTACTAGAAATAGATTCATTCACGTTAACAATGTGCATTAAGAGACGTATGCATTTCAATCTGCACACAGGTTTCTTCGGGTCCAGGTTCTTCTTCTTAATCTCTTTTCCCCTTAATGCTTCCACCTGCCTGTTTCTTTTTGTTTTTTATGTGCATACCCCCCCCCCCC